TGTTGAAAGATATAAATTTACCAGAAATTTATTTTAGACTACCACTAATTTGTTTTTGCTGCTCTGCTCATGATAATTGAATTGTTTTTCAGGTACAGATTCTTGTCTGCAGTAAGGTATTGTGCAGTCTCTTTTTCCCCCTGTCCTACACAATTTTTTAACTTCTGATTTTTTATCTGGTAACAAGAGATTTGGATGGCAAAATTAACTTCCAATTTCTTTTTCTTGTTCCACCTTTTGAACTGTTCAGAAGTTGCTCTTATTTTTCTTTTTAAGAATGTTGCTTTTTGCTTACAATAACAAACTGCTGCTCTTTTATTTTAAAAACGACGTTATTTCTTTGTACCATAAAAACGCTTGACACCAATCCGTATCAGTCGCCCAGTGAAGCTTTGCCTAGATCCGTTTATTAGATTAAGATCTGATCAACAGCTGTAGTGGCATGAATGAAATAGTTCCATGCAGAATGTTGCCCTTTCATTTGTGATTGTTGAGAAATGAAAAATATGAGAAAATTAGAAGTGAACTCTGAATATTTGGAATGGCAATAGAAAAATATTGGTCAAAAAAGAAACTCATACTGTGAACGATTTAAATGTTAGTTTTTTTAAAACCCAAAAACTTTTAATTTGAATAAAGGATTACTTTAATATGACTATTTTCCAAATTTTTCTACATTTTTCGTCTCCATGGCTTATGATTTTTGGACTGTCCACCATCTGCATTGGCCAGGAACAATCTCCAGCAATTAAAGGCTAAAGGCAAAATTAACAAACAGAAAAGTTAAACTGCAACGAACTGGAAGGAAAATTATCAAGCGATTTGGTTAATATGTTAAGTACAAAGAAACTCAACTATTATCACGTGTAAAACGATTTGGCAAAGAAGTGAAATTGCAAAAAATAAATACCAATTAATAAAATATCAAAAAACACTACAGGGTACCAAAATAATTTTTCAGATACAGCTGAAGCAACAAATGCTTTATTAACGGAAATGTTTAATACGGCAGTCTCTATCGATACCGAGGAGCTTTTCTAACAAGCATTTTATTATTTAGGAAGCAATTCTTCCTATGTAGAAAAAAATTAGAATTTAAAACCGTGGTTAAATTAAGGCACAATCTGAAAAACAGCCAGTCTTTACTGATACTTCTCGGACTTGCTCACACCAGGCAGTATAAAACCTAAGTTAAATTATAAGCTTAGAAAGTACGTTTACCAAAGAATTTATAGATCATTTTAAAGCTAATCAGTTTATTAAATCCGCCAATAGCATGCTAAGATTCATTTCAGTTAAAAAAAATACAAGAACTAGCAAAAAAAAACAACCATTACGATGATAATTGGTTACAATATATATTCATATATAACCAATAAAAAATTTTTCAAATTAGCTAAGCCGTTACAGTCAACCTCCTTAAAAAATAAAGGTCGAAACTGTTCATCGATTTACGCTTAAACTGCTATAAGTTGTTTTTATTAAAAACTGTAAGTTCAGAATCAAATACTGTCTTTGCTATCAGTTGGTGAAATAAATACAAAACAACAACTAGATGTTACCTAAAATGACAAGATATATCATTATCTTTAATATTAATAAATTTCTTCTTTTAAACAATTCATATATAAGAATGTTCCTTGATAAACTTTTGTCAACGACGGG